TTGATGAATACCCAATATCTGTGAAATTCTTGGGTGAGGATTTTTTAAGAATGAGGTATGCCTGTATCTGACCAGATTAATTCTTACCTTTTTAGTTTATAATCCCCCCATCTATATAGCTACATCTCAGATTCTTCTCCCACTTCAGGCAGGTAAACCCACCTTGCCTTTACCATTCATTCTCCTTTTCTGTCTTTGCTTTTATTGGACTCATACTATAAAAACCTTCTAGTCCTACTTTTACCTTGCCATTTCTTACTTACATTTCCAGGTTGAATTTAAGTGTCCAGGCTTCAGTTAAGTTTTTCTTCTTCGCACTGATTTATATTGGTTATTCCTTTTATTGAACTCTTATTTATTTTTGTACTCATATTTTGGTGTTTCCTCATATAAGATGTTTTTTACTTGTCATATATTTTATAGAGAAAAGATCTGACAAAAGAATATATATGATTTATACAGCAACAAATCAGGTAACCTGGATGAAATGGATAAATTCCTAGAAACACATAACCTACCAAGACTGAATCATGAAGAAATAGAAAAGCTGAACAGACCTATGACTAGTAAGGAGATAGAATCAGTAATCAAAAATCTCCCAACAAAAAAAACTCCAGGATGAGATGCCTTCACTGGTGATGCTACCAAACATTTAGAAGACCATTAAGTTGATCCCCCTCAAACTCTTTCCCAAAATGGAAGACAAGAGAACACTTCCAAACTCATTCTATGAGGTTATTATTACCCCGGTACTAAAGCCAGGCAAAGACACTGCATGAGACAACTAACTGCAGATCAATATCCCTGATGAATAGCATTGTAAATTTCATTCAAATTCATAAATAGCATTTTGAATTTTAACAGCATATTAAAAGGATTATACGCCATGACCAAGTGAGATTTATTCTTAGAATGCAAGGACAGTTCAATATATGAAATAAATCATTATAATATACCATAAATTAACAGAACAAAGGACAAAGTCACATGATCTCAATCGATATAGAAAAAGCATTTGACAAAATTTACTCTTTCATGATAAAAAACACTCAACAAACTCAGAAGAAAACGACCCGAACATAATATAGACCAGATAAGAAAAGCCCCAGCGGACATGATACTCACTAGCAGAAGACTGAAAGCTTTCATATAAGATCAGGAATAAGACAAGGATGCCCACTTCGACCTGGTGTGTTAAACAACATAGTTCTGAAAGGCCTAGCCAGAATAGTTAGGCAAGAAAAAGAAATAAAAGGCATTTAAATTAGAAAGGAAGTAAAAGTATCTGTGTTTGCAGATGACATGATCTTACATATAGAAAACCCTAAAGATCCCCACCCCCAAAAAAATAGACCTAATAAATGAGTCAGCAAAGTTACAGGACATAAAATCAGCATACACTAACAAAATATATCCTGAAGAGGAAATTGAGAAACAAGTGCATTTACAGTAGCATCTAAAAAAATAAAATATTTAGGAATAAACCTAACCAACAAAGTGAAAGCCTTTTACATAGAAAATTGCAAAATGCTGAAAGAGAAGACAAATGGGAAGACATCCTGTGTTAATGGATTGGAAGGTTAATTGTTAAATATCAGTACTACCTAAAATGATCTACAGATTTAATGCAGTCCCCATCAAATTCTTCATGACATTTTTTGCAGAAATAGAAAAGTTTATCCTAAAATTCATATGGAATCTCAAGGGGCCCTGAATAGTCAAAACAATCCTTAAAAAAAAAAAAGAAAGAAAAAGTTGGATTCTCTCACATCATTGATGTTTCTTTCTCTCCCTTCCTCTGTGAAATCAAGATAGTGTAGTGTAGTATAAAGAACACTGGACTGTGGCCAGCAAAATCTGAGCCTTGCTAGTGGGAAAGTCACCTGGGCCTCAGTGCCTTTCTCTATAAAATGAGACATTTTATATGTTTTCTATTATTTGCGGCTAAACATGCTATTTGTGTAGATTTTTCTGTAAGAAAACCATGAATTTGAATTGAGTATGTACATGTAACAGAAGGAAAACACTCTTTAATCTCTTTTCATATTTCATTTTAATCAGTTACTAGAGGCCCAGTGCACGAAATTCATGCACAGGGGAGAGGGGATGTTCCTCAGCCCAGCCTGCACCCTCTCCAATCCTGCCTGCCTGCCTTAATTGCCCCTAACCACTTCTGCCTGCGGGTCTGTTCACCCCTAATCACTCCCCTGCCAGCCTGATCGACGCCTAACTGCTCCCCTGCTGGCCCGGTCGCCCCTAACTGCCATCCCCTGCAGGCCTGGTCCCTCCCAACTGCCCTCCCCTGCAGGCCTTGTCCCTCCCAACTGCCCTTCCTTGCAGGCCTGATCGCCCACAACTGCCTTCCCCGGTTGGCCATCTTGTGTCCACATGTGAGTGGCCCATCTTGGAGTGATGGTCAATTTGCATATTACCTCTTTATTATATAGGATTATTTTACAAATGGAACAAAATGTTTTTCTTATCAGAGAATACACCAAATAAGCAAGGAAATCAGATTTCCTCACCAGTGGTAAAATAAAGCTTGGGTTCTGTTGACTTCCTTAATTGGTTGAATGTCATTTTGTTTCTTATTCTCCATAATTTTTCCTAATGTCTTTCCCATGTGTTGAATTTCCTTCAACCTGTCCTTCAGTTTGTGAAATTTTATTTCTTTTGAGAAGTACTCAAAATATTTGAAGAGAAATTATCATTCTTGCCAGCATTTGATCAGTCCCTTATAATTCATTCATTCAAAAAGAGAGTACTTTCCCTTTTGCTCATATAAAACCTAAATATGCATTTGTTTAGTATAACAGACTTCTCTCTTTTTTGTCCTTAATCACTTTCTATAAGTGATTCTGAACATTTACCTACTTTGGCTGTTTACCTGCATTGGCTGCCTTTCCCATCTCTGAGAAGGTTATATATGTGTCTCACTACACCTGTTGTCATTTCTTAACCATTATTCTTTATCTACCAGACACCTCCTCACCAACAACACATGCAAACATGCAATACACACACACACAAAGTTTATTTGTTGACTTAAGGCAAAAAATGGTGCCAGATGTGAAAACACTGAACAATTGTAGCAGAAAAATACTTTTCTCTATTATTCTCTCTAAGAATAAATCCACAGTTTGTGTAAGCATTTAAAATGTGTTTTATTGTCATAAATGTAAAGTTGGGGTTTATTTGCTAATCATATGCAATTTGACAGCATAACATATATACTGTTTGGAAAAGGCATGAATAAGCAGCATGATAGCTGCTGCTGGACAAGTCAAATGGAGCTGAATGGAGGGAGAAATAGGAAAGGAATGGAAAAAGCGACTTTTGTAGTTGTATAATTTAGCATTTTGGTTTACTGTATTTGTGTGTTGAACAAATATCATACTTACCAACTATGTTTAATGTGATGACCAATTGGGTTGAAAGCACCAATAACTCATTTTCTCTGAAAATGCTTAGGTTTGCTTTTTATGACAGGGATTTGGCTCCTTGACTTTCTACTCCTGGCTTCTGACAATTTTCAACAGATCCTGTATGTGCCATCTTTTGTCATTCTCTCTTTTTTGTATGTGCTATATTTTCTATCTGGAATGCCCGTCTCTAAATAAAGTTTCCATTCAGTCTTAAAGATTCAGCTTATATTTCATCTCTATTATTTAGTTTCTCTACTTATTAAATCAAGGAACATGTTTAGAATGGTGTTTGGCACCCAATATTTTCTAAATGTTAGCTCTTGTTACTATTTTATTATATTTCTGTGTCATAAGAGTACTAATTCCTTAAGGCCATAGATAAGCTGTATCACTAGTCCATTTTTATAATTTTAAAATGCTTGGCAAATAGATAACTAGTAAATATTTGAATGATTGAGTCAATATCTTTTCAGGAGGCCCTAAATAGTAGTACAGTAGTAATCCATATTGAGGGAGGAGGGATATGTATGTTTGTGTATTTATAACTTTTTAAAACATTTTATCGAGGTAGAATTTACCTTGTATAAAGCTCACTGATTTTGCCCACCAGTGTGGCTCAGTGGTTGAGCATTGACCTATGAGCCAGGAATTCTCAGTTCGATTCCTATCATTTTCTGTATGTATTACTGTAATTTTAAATTTATACTGAATAGGTCTAGGAAATGCAAGCATTCACAGGTCACCTGGAGTAAACAAATGCACATGGCTAGTACGTGGCTTAACACATATGAGAACAGCGGCAGAAGCACAATCCCTACTAGATTTTACAGCCAGAAGTTATGGGGACTTTTCTTCCCGGCACTGACACCCTAGACTGGGGGCACGGGACCCCTCACTCCTCAGGGAAACCTTTACAGCCAAGATATGCCTCCCAGTTTTTGAAATTTTAAACTGCCACATGTTGTCATGGGACCAGCCAATTCCACCCACATCTCTGCCCCTCCTACCAGTCTTCATGTGCTGCTGCTTTAATTCCCAAGTTGTAGGACTTTCATTCAGCTGGATTCAGGTGGCTCTGAATGAAGGTTGTTCTGTATTTTAGTTGTAAATTTTGATGATGTTGTGGGAGGCTATGAGTACTGCATTTAACCGCCATCTTGACCAGAAGCCTCTTGACGGACTTTTTAGAAAGGAATTCTTTCTTTCTTTCTTTCTTTCTTTCTTTCTTTCTTTCTTTCTTTCTTTCTTTCTTTCTTTCTTTCTTTCTTTCTTTTTTTTTTACATAATTTTTATTGATAGCAGAGAGGAAGAGAGGGAGAGAGAAATAGAAACATCAATAATGAGAAAGAATCATTGATTGGCTGCCTCCTGCACACCCCACATTGGGGATCAAGCCCACAACCCAGGCATGTGCCCTGATTGGGAATCAAACCATGACCTCCTGGATCACAGGTTGATGCTCAACCCCTCAGCCACACAGGCCAACCTAGAGAGGCATTCTTTACTGAGTCCTTCCCATGGAGTCTGCTTATAATTCAGGCGTGCTTGGAAAGTTAGAAAAAATTTACATTATTGTTTCATTGACTTCTAACTGAAACAGTATTTTCTTTTATAAGAGTTTATTTGGGCCAAACTGACATTGCCAGGAAGCAAGATCTCAAATGCTTAGGAAAGGGATAGTTTTGCGGTTTCTTTTATGTATTGACAATTAAGGAGGGAATGCAAGGAATATTACAGGAAGGTGGCAGAAAGCAAGGCAGGGATTGGATTACAGGATAATTAAGAAGATTATGTGCTCCCTTTAGGGTGGTCACTTCTGAAAAGAGGTATTTCAAATGTGAATTTAACCTAGATGCACAGAAACAATTTTTGATTAAGGCAAAGATAAACCTTTCACTAAAAAAGTTACATGCCTCCGGCATGCCGACCCACCATGACCTGCCTGGTTAGGAATTTATATTGATTTCATCCTGTGGGGTTACTTTCCGTAGAACCCCTTTTTTGTCCACACACTTAATAATATAGCCAATAAATCTCAGTAGTTATTAAAGTTACCTGTGACTTTGTGACCACCAGTAAAAATTACATTATTATTGGAAGATATGCTGAAATATCATTTATGGTCATCATTACTTTGAAATTGTAAGAGTTATTAGACCCACTGCTAAATCCATTTAATGTTATAAAAAAGCACATACAATTTTTGTTCTCATACTCATATATTGTTTTCTTTTTAATCTTACAAGTTTCTTTTCTGTATTTAAAAACACTATCTGAGAAGGTGTCTGTCCATTGATTTCACCAGATTTCCAAAGGAATCAGTGCCACACAAAAATTAAGATTACCTGTAAGGATTCCTTTGGTTGCTGTGACAAGAATGGAGTCAGGAGGAGGATGGAAAGAAAGAGTAGAAGGAGGTATACAAGTTAGGAAGCTTCTGCATTAATCTGGGGAAGGGATAATGGTGAGTTGGACCAGAGCTGTGGAAGATGAGGTAGTGATATTCAGTTGTATTTCAGATAAGTTTTAAAAGTGGAACCAATAGGATTTGCTTACAGATTTAATGTGTGAGAGATAAAGAAGAATCCAGGATGGCTCCTAGATTTTTGATCTGTGCAACTGGAAGGATAGAATTGCCATATGCTGACATTTTCTTTGAAGTAATTAATCTGTAATATTGGATAGATCAAATTTTTAAACAGTAACATAAGGCTTATAAAAATACAGAGGCTTTTAATGAAAAAAAAAATCTTATTCCATATATAAACTATATGAGATGGGATAGAGTACGTATGTTTGTTAAAGATCAAAAGTTCAGTTTTGGACATAAGTTTGAGATACTTATTAGACACCTAAGTATGAATTTGTGACTTACTCTTTCCACTTAATATGTCTTGGCATATGCAGTCATTAGAAAGAATAAGGTGAACCCATACATAGAAAGAGCTTGAACTTGTATTGTTCTTGACTATGTGAATGTTTTATAGTGAGCATATATCCATGTGTTAGGTGACTTTAAAATGAGAAAAGCATGTTAAAAAAATATGAGAATTGTTACAGTACCTGATAGGATAATTATTGTGGTCATTGGGAATGAAATTGATCTGTGTATACCACCATGAAAGATTTCTAAAATCTACAAATGAGGTGAAGAATAGAATAAATAGATAAGTGTGTCAGAATCGAGAGAAACCAAGATGGCGGCATAGGTAAACACCGGAGTTTGCTGCCTCAAACAACCACTTCAAAAATACAACTAAAAGACGGAATGGACATCATCCAGAACCACAGGAAGGCTGGCTAAGTGGAAGTTCTACAACTAGGAGGAAAGAGAAAAACATACCGAGACTCAGAGGAAGCACAGTGCAGAAGTAAAATACTAAGGTGTGGAGTGCATGTGGAGCAGGCTGGCGGCTGAGGGCGCGGTTGTCGTTTTCAATCGGGAGGGAGTCTCAGGCTTTGAGCCCCAGTTCCGGGCGAGTCTCTAGGGACCCAGACTCATATGGGAGAAGTGGGACTGTCTGGCATCGCTCAGAACCCTAGGGCAGCTTTCTCTCCATGGGGTTTGCAGTGATTACTGGGACACTGAGAAGCAGAGCCTCTGAGGGCAAGACTGAGAGCAGCCATAATTGCTAACCCCGCCCTGTTGATCCCTTGGGACCTGCCCCGCCCAAGCCCTGCAGGGAGACTTTTGCTGGATAGCCTCAGGCAAAGGCTAGATTAGCACCTCCCTAGAGATCCAGGAGCCAGGAAGCCCAGAGGTCAGAGTGGGACCATCCAGTTTGCAGCTCCGTGGAACCATAAAAAACATACTCAGGGGGCAGACTCAGTGAGCACCAAAGCCCCATCGAAGCAAGTCTAGCCCCAGAGGGGTGTCTCCAGCACAGAAGTTCTCCCACTGCAGACACAGCTGATTCTCACAGCCAGTTGGCCTGGAGGTCAATTCCTCACAGTGATAACTACAACAGTCAAGGCTTAACTACAACAAGACTGTGCACAAAGCCCACAAGGGGGTGCACCAAGAGTGTCTACCTCAGGTAATTGGGACACTTAGCACAGAAAGGCACTCTATCGACACAGTGAAGCATAAAAAATGCCAAGACAAAGAAACAGGACACAAACAACAGAATTGGAGGAAAGCAAACTGTTGGATATAGAGTTCAAAACCACATTTTTAAGGTCTTTAAAGAACTTTCTAGAAGTCGCCGATAAATTTAATAAGTCCCTCGGAAAGACTGGTGAGACCGCTGATAAATGTAGTGAGATCCTCAAGAAATCTAATGAGACCCTCGATGTTGTGATAAAGAAACAACTAGAAATTAAGCATACACTGACTGAAATAAAGAATATTATACAGCGGGGGGATAAAATGGACACATATGTAATACCCTTTGTAATACTTTAAGCAATAAAAAAATAAAAAGAAAAAAAAAAGAATATTATACAGACTCCCAACAGCAGACCAGAGGGTCGCAAGAATCAAGTCAAAGATTTGAAATACGAAGAAGCAAAAACCACCCAACCAAGAACCTACAACCAAGGTTACTTTATCCAGCAAAGCTATCATTCAGAATTGAAGGTCAGATAAAGAGCTTCACAGATAAGGAAAAGCTAAAGGAGTTCATCATCACCAAACCAGTATTATCTGAAATGCTGAAAGGTATCCATTAAGAAGAGGAAGAAGAAGAAAAAGGTAAAGATACAAATTATGAACAACAAACACACATCTATCAACAAGTGAATCTAAAAATCAAGTGAATAAATAATCGGATGAATAGTATGAACTGGTGATTGTAATAGAATCAGGGAGATAGAAAGGGAATAGACTGACTATTCTTGAGGGGGAAGGGGTGCGGGGGTGAGGGAAGAGATTGGACAATAATCGTGCACCTATGGATGAGGACAGTGGGTGGGGAGTGAGGGCGGAGGGTTGGGTGGGAACTGGGTGGAGGGGAGTTATGGTGGGGAAAAAAGAGTAACTAATGTAATAATCTGAACAATAAAGATTTAATTGAAGAAAATAAGTGTGTCAGAATCATAATAAATCTAACTGTTTATATTTAGAAAGAGAAGCTGGATGGGCTGTTACAGTTTTAAAAATTTATGATATATCCAATATTATAGATCTATTAATAATTTCAAAGAGATTATTAATTGAGAATATGAATGTTAATGGAAGTTAGAAATTTTTTCATATAATGTTTATTATGAATAAAATATTACAGGTGAATACATGACTAGAAGAAAAGATAAGGAGATGCACGTCAGAATGTTAGTGGTGTTTTTCTGTGGGTGATGGAATTTTTTTTTTTTTAATATTTTTTTAAAAATACATTTTATTGATTTTTTACAGAGAGGAAGGGAGAGGGATAGAGAGTTAGAAACATCGATGAGAGAGAAACATCGATCAGCTGCCTCCTGCACATCTCCCACTGGGGATGTGCCCGCAACCCAGGTACATGCCCTTGACCGGTATCGAACCTGGGACCCCTCAGTCCGCAAGCCGACGCTCTATCCACTGAGCCAAACCGGTTTTGGCGTGGGTGATGGAATTTGATGTGAATTGTTAAAAATATTTTTCTTTAATTTCTTGTAGACTATGAGAAGACAACGAAATGAAGTTGTGGTTGAATTAAGGAAGGTAAGTCTGATTATTATTGGGTATTTGTAAGCATCATTGTAATAACATTACAGCATGTATAGAGGATATCAAATGTATGTGAATCTCAAGTGCTGAGCATTTATTTTTCTTTTGAAAACTGAAAGATTTTGACTAAATTTGGCAAGCTTTTGAAGTTGGCAAAATACAACTTGACCACTATCAAAAAAACAGAGAAACTAATTATGAGATGGTTTTTCCTTCTGATCTATATAAGTTGTAAGCCATGAGTGTACTAGTAGTTATACTAAATAGTTCTATTTACAATAGCAGTTACACCCTGAAAGAAATTTGTTACTTATAAATTTCATCAACTTTTCAAGTATTAAAGTAGTTGAAAACGTATTTTTTTAATTTGTCCCAAACATTTTAAGTGAAATTCAAGTGGCCCTTGATTTCTGTAAGGCAATGTTGATTTTTGTCTGATTTTTGAACTGCCCAACTTTTGCTTTGACTTTTTTTTTAGGCAGTAAAGAGAAGCTCCCAGATGATGTATAAAACGGTTTAGTACTTCTAAATAAATATGTATGTTTGGTTCTGGCTTAAACTGTACACACTTTTTTAATCAATTTTTTTTGTTGTTCATTACTTTGTTTTTACATAGTTCACCGTTTATTAAAAACTTAATTATTTGGGGTTTGGATCTCAAATTAGAGTTGCTTAAGTGTTTAATTCACAATTTGGTTTAATTTTCTACATTTGCATTTACTTTTAAAAGGCACTTCATATTTCATTTTGTAGGCACAGGATAGCCTAACCTTTGTATGAAAGTATTTAGCTTCCTTTATTTAAAGTTACTTCTTTTTATACTTATTTTTAAGAATAAAAGAGATGAACATCTCTTAAAGAGGAGGAATGTACCACATGAAGATATCTGTGAAGACTCTGATATAGATGGTGATTATAGAGTGGTAAGTTATTGTTATCCTGGTTACTTAAAACTACCAGTGAAAGATTTTATATAAATATAGAATTTTAAGGTGATTTTCTAACTTAGTGTTCACTTTAACTTTTTTCCCTAGCAAAATACCTCTCTAGAAGCTATTGTTCAAGTAAGTTGTGTTATTATTTCCTCTCTTTATTACATTTCTTGGACTTAGCTAATTACTGTGTGTCTACATCAAAACTGTTTTATTTTTTTATAGAATGCTTCAAGTGATAACCAAGGAATTCAATTAAGTGCAGTTCAAGCTGCTAGGTAAGTTAAATTTTGAGGATATACTTAAGTTTTATAACTTACACAGAAGTTCTGTTTTGGGTATTCACTCAGGGGTGGGCAAACTTTTTGACTCGAGGGCCACAGTGGGTTCTTAAACTGGACCGGAGGGCCGGAACAAAAGCATGGATGGAGTGTTTGTGTGAACTAATATAAATTCAAAGTAAACATCATTACATAAAAGGGTACAGTCTTTTTTTTCAATAGTTTTATTCATTTCAAACGGGCCGGATCCGGCCCGCGGGCTGTAGTTTGCCCACGGCTGCACTAGATAGTAGTCTTGACACTCATTTAACTTTGATAGCAAACAGTATAGAACCAGTCATAAACCAACTGGATTAATTTTAAAATTAGTCTCTGATTTAGAATATTAAAATTGGTAGCAGTGTTTTAAACTCACAAATACACTAAACTTTAGTTTACTTAATACGTACAGATGATAGGGAAAAGTTGATTTGATGGGTTATTGCTATAGACCAATTGGAAAACATTACTTAAAAGCTTTACCTTTTATTGATTATAGGTTTAATTTAATAAAAACTTAGATTGTTCAGATCCTGCCCAGGTAGCTAATTCTTCTCATAGTCCTCATATTGATCAAATAACAAATTAAGTTATAAGCTTAATGTAGCAGTGTATAGGCAAGTAGACATTAAGATTTAGGACTACAAAGACTCCCAGACTCTTTCCAGGTAAGAATACTAAAATATTTCTGTCTTAATACCTATGCTCTCATAGTTAATAGTTTGGAGAAGACATAGTTATATCATAGTGTTTGCTTTGTATATCTGTAGATATAAAAGCCTAAGTGACCATTACAGCTGGACAACCAGCCGGTAGCTATGATACAGAAGCCCGCCCCCTGGTGGTCAGTGTACTCCCACAGCCAACCTCCTACGGTCCCTCCTCCCGGCTAGCTAACCTCCTGCAGTCCCTCCACCTGGCCAGCCGACCCCCATCTCCCCGATAGGGACTAGACGAGACGGCCCCCATTGGCTGGGAGGGACCTCACCCGTGCACGAATTCATGCACCAGGCCTCTAGTATAACTATAAGAATAGCAGCCTGTGTTGCAATTAGTAGTAGGACAGACTTAAGCAAGAAATTGATCCTACTTTGAGAATTTTAAATGGAAAAAGATTTCACAGGTCCATCCAATATCTTACCTTGTGCATAAAACCCTTTATGTTTATAGACTTTTTCTACTTTTTAATATTTGCTTTATTTTTAATTTTGATGTGTTGATTTTAAAGAGAGGGAAAAAAACACATTGATTTGTTGTTACATTTATTTATGCATTCATTGGTTGCTTCTTGCATGTACCTTGACCAGAGATTGAACCCAAAACCTTGGCGTTTGGGGACAACACTCTAACCAACTGACCTATTCAGCCAGGACCTTTTATATTCACTTTAAATTACCTAGAACAGATGGCAAAATTATACAAATACAGTGTTTAGCCTACTACAGGTAACAGGACTTCTTAGAGAGGACTTTGTTTTGTAGGAAGAAAATTGCAGAAGTTTTCACACCTCAAAATGGCAAATTAATGTTTATAGGAATAATGATTAAGAAATTGATACATTATGCTCACCATTGTCTGAATTGATTATTTTACAGTTTTGGAGCAACTCTTCTCAATACAAGTTCTGTAAGATAATTAAATCCCTATGGCAGGGATTCTCAATCTCCCTAGGAGATCCTGAGACAACTTCAAGGGGTATACAAGATCAAACCTATTTTCACAATAATTCTAAGACCTTATTTGCCTCTTTTCACTGTGTCACCATTTATATTGATGAGGCAGAGGCAACTGTGGGTAAAACTTAGCACAGATCAAGACTGGCACAAAATTGATTTTATGGCTATTTTTCAGATATTACTTGTACTACTATGCACTCAAAGAAAAAAAGCAATGTCTGTTAAAGAATGTCTTCAGTTAGCCCAGTCAGTGAGCATCAACTTATGAACCTGGAGGTCACAGTTCAATTTCCAGTCAGGGCACATGCCCGGGTTTCGGACTCAACCTATAGTGGTGGGGCAGCTGATCAATGACTCATCATTGATGTTTCTATCATTCCCTCTCCCTTCTTCTCTGAATCAATAAAAATATTTTTTTTATTAAAAAAAAAAGAATGTCTTCAATGAAGTAGTAAAAAAAATTTTTTTACTATATCTGGTACCTCAATTAACAGTGACTGGGTTATTTCCTAGTTTGTGCTATGTGCCATGTGTTATGGAAAATACTGTAAAAAAGCATGTGGCATACTTTTTGCCCTATAAGAGGTTAAGAGCCTAATTAGGAAGGTGAAACTAAGTATATGCTACGTAAATATGCTTTTAGTAATTCAGGGAATTTAGAATTCAGGGAAGATATTATGAAAACATAGAACTTAAAATGGACTTTGGTTATGTAGATTTTGAATAGACGGAAAAGGGCTTGGAAATGCAATAGAAGTGGTGGGACAGATAACTGACCTTAGGAGTTTACATTAAGTAGCCATCATTTGGTATATATACAGGGGAATGATCTCACTAAGCTTTCTTAAAACATTGTATTTGCATCGTAATGCATGGTATTCAAATGGATAAAGATTTGGGTTAGGCTACATTGAGGACTTAATCAGCTAAACCTACAGTCTTCCACATGTGTAAATAGACACAAAATTTTGTTGTTTTACCCTCTAAGCTTCATAAGAGCAAAGGTGTGTCTGTCTTGTTCACCTTAATATCTCCAGTATCTCTTTGGATATTTTTCTATGTATTGTTGTACTTCACTTCACTTTAGTTACTTAGATGAGAAGTTTGAGCTTACATGATATTTGATTTAGTGTATGCAGTAGGATGAAATATTGGACACTAGTATCAGCTATAAATTTGTAACATCAGTCTACGTGCTTTTGTCCTTTATCTTCTATTGTGACATGGTTTGAATAATTTTGGATATTTTGGTGAACTTCCTTACTTAGCAAGGTCAATGACATGGTGAAGGAGTTTGCCCACTTTTTTTCTCTGACCTCAACATTGCAAAGGTAACACTTAAAACATCTAGTTGTCATATTTAGGCCTTCATTGTGGGAATAATATTACTGTACTAATAAAAAAAGAGGTAAAGTGGTTATGTCTACCATTTTTCCTAATTAGTAATCTATATATTTATGAATTAATATTTTAATACAGAAAAGGTTGCATTATAAATTTTTAAAGTAACTTTCAGAGTAAGTATTTGTGCCAGATAGTCACATTTATTATAATCAATATCAAGTATGAACTTGAGTTTAATTATATGTGATTAAATTTCATAAGTATGTACATCTCTTATAGGAAGCTTTTGTCCAGTGATCGAAATCCACCAATTGATGACTTAATAAAATCTGGAATATTGCCTATTTTAGTCCATTGTCTTGAAAGAGATGACAAGTAAGTACATTATTTTAAGAAATAATTTAGGATGTATTCTTTGCAGAAGATAAAATTTTCTAGTAATTAGTTTGATCTTTAAGTAAAGAAAAGGGCTACGAGATGGAGTTGAAAACCCAAAGTGAAAAACAATGCAAGGTGTTTATACCAAGAGGTGAAGGTTGCCCTAGCCGGTTTGGCTCGGTGGCTAGAGCGTCGGCCTGCGGACTGAAAGGTCCCAGGTTCGATTCCGGTCAAGGGCATGTACCTTGGTTGTGGGCACATCCCCAGTAGGAGATGTGTAGGAGGCAGCTGATCGATGTTTCTCTCTCATCGATGTTTCTAACTCTCTATCTCTCTCCCTTCTTCTCTGTAAAAAAATCAATAAAACATATTAAAAAAATAAAAATAAAAATAAAAAGGTGAAGGTAGAGGCCAGAGAAGAATTTGAGAATGATACATACAACTTTTAAGCTTTGAAAACTGGCAAGAAATAGTTTGGCCAGATAGGTCCTTGAGAACACTGTTTGGATTGTAATGTGCAGGTATCATAGTAAAAAATTCTTACTAAGAAATAGATCATGTGAATAGGTTATATGCTTTTTATACTAAAGGGAAATTTTAAATGGAGGTTTAAAAGAAGTTCTGGATGCATAGATACCTTTTGAAACAAAATATTCAATGCTTTTATAATGCTCTATGAGGGAGGAATGGTTGATAGATATTTGATACATAAAAATAATTTTTTTAATTATTTGTTTTTTTGTAGTCCTTCTTTACAGTTTGAAGCTGCATGGGCTTTGACAAATATTGCGTCTGGAACCTCTGAACAAACTCAAGCAGTAGTTCAGTCCAGTAAGTTGGTTATTAACAGACAAAATAAATAGTGACTCTATTAAAAAGAATAGAGTTATTCTATATAATAAAAGCCCAATATGCTAAGTGTCCTACCATTCGTTCAACCATTCGACCAGTCACTATGACGCACACTGACCACCAGGGTACAGACACTCCAATCAGTAGGTTAGCTTGCTGCTGGGTCCAGTCTGGCCAGTCAAGACTGGGCAAGTTGGGCTGAACACACCCTGGAGCCCTCCCACAGTCTCTCCCCAGCCCTGATCCTCACAGGCCAGGCCGAGGGACCCCACCAGTGCACGAATCTGTGCACCAGGCCTCTAGTTTATATTATAAAATAATAGCTATTCGATAACACTTAAGATATTTGAAGTAAGCCAACTTAAGTATGTTACTTTGATATCCTGTACCAGTGAAGAATCATTTGTTCGATGCAGTATTCTGTTCAGGTACAAACCTTTCTCTGTGTTTACCACCCTTATTATTAAGCAACAGAGCCACTATCTGAATCAAAGTCTCATGTGGTACAGGAATTGCTGGCCTGTCTAAAGACCCATGTGATATAATTCATAAGTTACTTTAACATTTGGACTCTTGTGTTTTTAATTTGAAGATCAATATTAATCTATAAGGAATTAACGTTAAAATTGGAATTAAATCCAAGTTTAATTGTAAATGAAATCTTACCAGCTTAGTTTTACATTTGTCTGCATTGTTCTTTTAATGCTAACTAAGCAATCTGCTGTCAAAATTTTCCACTGCTGCTATTGTAATGAAAATCATGTAATAAAAACATATTTCAAGTATATTTTGGATAAGTTTCTTTTGAGGTTTCAGCAAAAAAACCAAGATTGATTTTGGTTTAGATTATAGTATCTTCAACCGTTTTTCCAATTTTATTGGAAATGTAATTGACATATAACTGTGTTTATACTTAACTCCTCTTACGTTTTCCTCCATCAGATGCCGTGCCACTTTTCCTGAGGCTTCTTCATTCACCCCATCAAAATGTCTGTGAGCAAGCAGTGTGGGCATTGGGAAATATCATAGGTTTGTCAAACTTATAATAGTCCAGCCATTGTTATCATATACTATGTAATGAAAATAACTTTAGTAATTGAAAAGGAAAAATAGTTGGTCTGGATCAGTACTAATTTTTATGAAATAGTTTACAGAAATTAAAGCTGTTTAAGTATAAATTGATAGTAAACAAAATGAATATCTTTGCTGCTTATGATGACATAATATATTTTGGCATGTAGTCAATATTTAGTTATTTGAAAATTATGACATATGTATATCATTTAGATCTTTTCTTGCTCCTTTATTATGTTGGGGGCCATTTTCTTAGCTCTCCCCTCTGTCATAGAAAGTATGTAATAAAAAGGAGGAAGCAAAACTTAAAAATTTTTCTTCATAATATCAGTTTTAAGAAAAGTTTTGAATTAAAATTTTTATATCTCTTGTAGATTTTAGTACATTATAATAATGTTATCTACTATCATAATGAAATCAGTATATAGGAGATAATCTAGAGCTTATAGACCAGGGGCCATTTGGACATTTATAACGTCATTCACAGGCCATACAGAATTATCAACTTAAAAATTAGCTTGCTGTATTTGGTCAAACATTTAATTAGCTCACCCCTAATGCCTAGGCAGAGCTAGACCAAGTGATTTCATGGGCCAGGGTCAGATGTTCCCCACCCCCGTTACAGACAGTCTCACTAAATGGTGAACATCATGATTACCATACTTTAAGGTTTATTCTAATAAATAATGTAGGAAAAATAATTAAAGACAATTCTAATGTTTCAAGGATTGTTTTTTAACTTGAGCATACACTTCACTCAAATTCAAAAGACTATCGTGGAGAATAATTTATAGTTAATACTCTTAATGCTTTGATATTGGATCATCAGTATAAATTCTATAAATATTTTCTTTCCAGTAGTATTGTGGTATATCTTTTTAATACATGAAAGTTTGTTAAACTGGGATTGCCATTGAAAGAAAAGATAAAAGCAACAATTATCTGTCTGAAAAGTATTTTAAGCTACCCTTAGGATTCTAGTGTTCAGATAGCATAAAAATGTTTTATAGGTAGAACAACTTATAACCCTGAATATTTGAGTAATATTTTTTTAAAAAAACAAAAAACTTAGTACCTTATATTGCTTCTCTTGGCTCAAAGACCTAAATATGTGAACTTGGTTATTATTGTCTAGAACTTTTTTATAAAACTAAATAGGATAACTGATTAAAATGCAGCATATTGAATCTAGTGCTTTATTTTCTGAATTACTTATTGACAACATATTTTATTAAACTAATAAATTTTTCTTACAGGTGATGGGCCACAGTGTAGAGATTATGTCATAAATCTTGGAGTTGTGAAACCTTTACTTTCCTTCATAAGTCCATCTATTCCTATAACATTCTTAAGAAATGTTACTTGGGTTATGGTTAACTTATGTCGGCACAAAGACCCACCACCCCCAATGGAAACCATTCAGGAGGTAAACAAGTGTTTTTTGTTTTTATTTTCAAACTGAAGTATTATGTGTATGTTTTTATCTATGTATGTTTTAAAATCTGTATATTTTTCTCTTCAGATTCTTCCTGCTCTTTGTGTTTTAATTCATCACACAGACGTAAATGTGAGTAAATGCTTCATGTGTTTTTTATGTGTGTGTGTGTGTATGCATGTGAGATGGGGAGAAAATGTTATACTGGACATCATGTCAGTGTATTCTATCACGTTTTTCCATTCAAGAGCTAAAATACATAATTTGCCATTTTTGTACTCTGTGTTTACTTACATCACTAAATTTAATTTCAGTAAAAAAATCAAGCCTAATTGTTATTTTGGTCTAAGCAATAAAGTATATACACATGTATATTAGTGTTGTAAAAGTTACATTGGAAGTTCTTCAGTTTGTTCAGGAGCTTTTTATGGAATCTCATTTTGATAGCTTGACCAATAAGAGAATACATACACCCAATTTTTTTTTTTTTTTTTAGTATGTTTTTATTGATTTCAGAGAGAAAGGGAGAGGGAGAGATAGAAACATCACTGATGAGAAAGAATCATTGATTGGCTGCCTCATGCACGCCCCCTACGGGGATCGAGCCTGCAACCCAGGTATGTGCCCTTGATCAGAATTGAGCCCGGGACCCTTCAGTCCTTAGGCCGATGCTCTATTCACTAAACCAAGCCAGCTAGGGCTGTTTTTGTTTTTGTTTTTTGAAAGATAAAAAGAGCCCTAGCCGGTTTGGCTCAGTGGATAGAGCATTGGCCCACAGCCTGAAGGTACCTGGGTTCAGTTCCAGTCAAGGGCATGTATCTCAGTTGCAAGCTTAATCCCCAGGCTGCACATCGATGTTTCTTTCTGTCTCTCCCCTTCCTTTCCACTCTCTTCTAAAAAATCAATGGAAAAAATATACTCAGGTGAAGATTAACAACAAAAAAACAGCAACAAAAACCTGAAAGAGGACCTAAATAAGTTGTTACTAATAAATCATTAAACAATCTTTTTAAGTTAAAAGGAGAAATGTTTGTGCCTTTATGCATGACTTTGTATTCCTATACATACACCAAACCGTGGACATTATTTGCTCTTTAATTTTATTTTTACTCTGTTTCTCCACTTACAGTGACCTTGGTAGTGGCTTCACTTGGTATAGAGATAACTTGAAATCCAGACAATAAGGAAAAAAAATCAGTGCAGACTAGATTTTAAACATAACAAATATATCTTACCCATTTTTACTAACACAGATGGCAAAGGAAAAAGCAACTCAGGAAGTATGAATGATGGAAAACTGTCCTGACTGCTTATAAAGCCAGTGTAGCCTTCAGTGTGTTAGAAAAGCTAGCAATATATGTAATGGGTCAAGGAAATCATGTGGATTAAATGCATAGTAATAGTCAGGAACTTGTGTGGCTTTAAAAACACAGGTGTGCCCTAACCAGTTTGGCTCAGTGGCTAGAGCGTCAGCCTGCAGACTGAAAGGTCCCAGGTTCGATTCCGGTCAAGGGCATGTACCTTGGTTGCGGGCACATCCCCAGTAGGGGGTGTGCAGGAGGCAACTGATCAATGTTTCTCTCTCATCGATGTTTCTAACTCTCTATCCCTCTCCCTTCCTCTCTGTAAAAAAATCAATAAAATATGTATTTTTTAAATGTTTTTTTAAAATTCTTAAATAAAATAAAAACACAGGTATGATGACCAGTATTTGATCAACTGCTTCATTCCTTTACAGTTTCTAGGGTAATACCATTTTGTCAGGATCTCTCTAAAGCATATGGAACAAATTAAAGTTAGAATTATACTACATTAAGTAGTGACATAATGTACAAAACTCATTAGATGAATATGATCTTTTCTCTTATGATATTTTTTTTAGCTCCACATAGTTTAGGATTTTTTTTGGTTTTGCTCCTTCAAGCCAAAGTCTTTGATAAAATTATAAATGTTAATATTTTACTTTTGCAAGATTTCCAAGAAAGAGTAATCTCAAAGTTTATACCTCTGCCAGAAAAACAGACATCTTGTTTGACCTTATTCCGAGATGTATTGTGGTCTTTATACTGTTTACACCAATCAAGTTGAGATTGTAACTCTATTTTTCTTGCTTTTATATACCTTTAATTTCTCAAACCAGTTTGCATTGTTCTTTTTTAGCACATGTATACCAAGTAACAGCATTTACTAAAAATAAAATATTTTTAGGTTAGCACTTAGCAAGTTCTTAAGTCAGACTATTAAAGAAGTAAAAAATAAAATAAAAACAAAACGGCTTTCACTAACCGTAAGTGAAACACTGAAATTTCAAATTTAGTAAACTTATCATGGAATATTAATTTTTCTATTACAAACAGTATATATGAGAATGAATCTGATTTAAATTGTGATTTTGATATGAGCATATCAATGACTAGTTTACTATTGGACCTTTTATTTGTTTTTTTAGTATAGTTTTATTGATTTGAGAGAGAGAGGATGGGAGAGGAAGAGAAAGAAATATTGATGAGTGAGAAACATCATCAATCTATTGGCTGCCTCCTGCATACCTCCCACTGGGGATCAAGCTTGAAACCCAGGCATGTGTCCTGACAGGAAGTCAAACCAGTGACCTCTTTGTGCATGAGTTGATGCTCAACCATTGAGCCACACTGGCTTGGCACTATTGGGCCTTTAAAAAAAATCTATCTAAATTTTATATTACAGTCATGCATGGTTAACTTGAATTTTTTTGCTTTTAAAAAAATGTTGGCCCTAGCTTTCTATCTTTCTCTCCCACTCCCTACCTCTTGAAAATTTTGCTCGTGATGAGAGCATCGGCCCGAGGGGTCGTGGGTTTGATTCCAATCAAGAGCAGGTACCTCAGTTGAGGCTTGATCTCTGGCCCTGGTCGGAGCACATGTGGGAGGCAAGCAATCGATGTGTCTCTCTCACATTAGTGTTTCTCTCCCCCTCTCTTCCGCTCTCTCTAAAAATCAACTGGGGGGGCCCTGACCAGTTTGGCTCAGTGAATAGAGCGTTGGCCTGCGGACTGAAGGGTCCCAGGTTTGATTCTGGTCAAGGGCATGTACCTTGGTTGCGGGCACATACTCAGTAAGGAGTGTGCAGGAGGCAGCTGATCGATGTTTCTCACTCATCGATGTTTCTTACTCTCTATCCCTCTCCCTTCCTCTCTGTAAAAAATCAATAAAATATATATTTTTAAAAATCAACTGGGGAGAAAATATTCTCAGCTGAGGATTAACAAAACAAAAATAAACAAATTTTGGCATATGTTGGTACTCCAGGGAAAAAAAAGTTACATTTGTAAGTTAAAGTTTCATTGTTTCACATATTTTAATACCACTTTATGTGTATGAATTTTCTCACTTGGTATCTTCTTTTTACATTAAAAATATCCATAGAACTTTCTTAAATTCCTGAAAGGAGCAATAGCAAAATGATGTTTCCTCCTTCTAGGAGCTTCTTGGATGGTGTAAACAACATTGGTTTAGAATTCAAAAGGTTTCTAACTTCTCTGGCTTGTCTTTTGACAGAGTCCATTATTTAGAAAGGCTTTGAAAGCAAAGTTAAGTAGTTTTGATAGCTTGTGTAAATCATGCTTTTTGTTGTTGTTTTTTTTTTACCTAGAATGTGTGTTTTTTTTAAACATTTACCACAATGTCCTTGTATTTATCCCTCAGTCTGAGCATTTGGGAAAGAGAATTTCTTTTTCTCCTATTTCATGTGCTGTATAGTGTGTTTTTATCTTAATGAATTAAGGTTAGATACTAAATTATGATAGAGATTATAATTAACCTAAACATTATGAATATGGCTTAAAGATGTACATGCTTGATACAAACATTCATAAATGCTAATATTTAGTATAATAAAAAGATTCCAGTGAGTTGAGGTGAGAGAAAAAGAAAGACAGTACTAGAACAATTGTAAATTAGTCTGTATGGTTAAATTATTAAAATGAGAAGATACTTACTTAAAGGCATTTTAAATTTTCATTTTATTCATTAGATACTGGTAGATACGGTCTGGGCCCTCTCTTACCTTACTGATGCTGGCAATGAGCAGATACAGATGGTAATAGACTCTGGAATAGTCCCTCATTTGGTTCCTCTGCTCAGCCACCAGGAAGTGAAAGTTCAGGTGAGTTTGTTGTTAATAAAAGCATAAGTTTTTCTTACCACTAATTGCTTTAAGCATGACATTCAAAAATGGACAATGAAATCTAATCAGGAGTCCAAAAATAAGCCCATACATTTATGATAATTGATTTTCAATAAGGGTGCCAAGAAAATTCAATGAGCAAATAAAATTTATTCAATAAAGGATGGTGAAACTACTGGATATCCACATGTAAAAGAATGAAGTTGAACCCCTATTTCGTACCATATTTAAAGAATAGCTTAAAATGGATCAAATACCTAAGTGTAAGAGCTAAAAGTATAAACTTCTTAGAAGAAAAAACAGGCGTAAATCTTTATGACCTTGTATTAGTCAGTAGCTTCTTAGATTTGACACCACAAGCAACCAGGGGGAAAAATTAAATAAATTGGACTTTACCAGAATTTAAAACTTGTACTTCTTAGGACACTATCAAGAAAGTGAAAAGACATCCTACAGAATAGAAGAGAATTTTGCAATTATATATCTGAAAAGGGACTTGTATACAAAATATATTGACAATTTATTCAGCTTAACAATAAAAAAATAAGTAACCCAATTTAAAAATGGACAAAAGATTTAAATATAGTTTTCCCAAGAACACATGTAGTTGGTCAATGAGCATATGAGATTTTCAGCATCATTAGTCATTAAGGAAATGCAAATCAAAGCCACAAGTTAATACTTAATACCCACCACGATGGCTATAATCAAAGACAGTAACAGGTGTTGGCAAAGGAGAAAGTGGAATCCTCATATACTGCTGGTGGGATTGTAAAATGACACAACTTCTTTGGAAATTAGTTTGACAGTATCTCAAAAAGTTAGACATAGAGTTATTACAGGACCCCCCAATTTCACTCTCAGGTATATACTCAAGAGAATGGAAAAAACATTTTTCACACAAAAACCTGTGCACGAATGTTCATGGCAGTATTATTCATAATAGCCAAAATGTGGGAACAATCCAAATGTTCATCAACTAATGAATGGTTAAATAAAACTAAGTCTTTCCATGCAGTACAATATTATTTGGCCACAAAAAAGAATGAAATACTCATACGTGCCACAACATGAATGCACCTTAAAAGCATTATGTTAAGTAAAAGAAGCCAAATGTGAAAGGCCATCATCTATTTTATTCCAGTGAAATGTCCAGAATAGGCAAATCCATAGGAATAAGCACAGTGTGATTGCCAGTAACCTGGTGATGAGGGCAATGGGAATTACTGTTAATGGGCCCAGATATCCTTTTTTGGGGTGATAAAAATGTTCTCAAATTACATATTGGTTATGGTTGCACAACTTTGAATATACTAAGGACAACTAACTATTCACTTTGAAAAGATGGATTATATGTTATGTGAATTATATCTCAATTTTTAAAAAAGGAAACTGGATTGTTTGTAGATGGAAAAATTAGCCAAAAAAATCTTTAACAGAAAATGACCTGATACAACTAAAGAAAATAATTGACAATTCAAATTCGTATGAATACGGAAATCTTATATATTAAGCAGATTCCTGCTTTCCTTCAGAAAAGGCACTTGTTTTTGTTAACCTATTGAAACACTAAACCTAAAATCTAAAATACTACCTTATTTTCTTTATGGCCCAAATTACTGTCTAAAATTATCCTTATTGGTTTATTGACGGATTTCTACAATAATGTAAGCTTCACAAGGGGGGTTTGTATCCTATTCACTCTTCTGTTCCTAAGTCAATGTCTCACACAGCTTTTTCATAAAGGATAGGTTTGAATTAATGAATGGATCTTTCATAATCTGCCAGACATACGTCTCTGTTAAGAAGAAATATTTCACATAGAGCAATATCTCATTAAATCTTTTTATGTGTCAGACTGCTGCACTTCGAGCTGTGGGCAACATTGTTACTGGAACTGATGAGCAAACACAGGTAGTTTTGAACTGTGATGCTCTGTCACATTTCCCAGCACTTCTGACACATCCCAAAGAGAAAATTAATAAAGTAAGTATTTTTAAACACTATTTAATAAATAACGTAAAATATCAGCAGTTTTTTTTTCATTTGTAAAGTTAGGGACTCAGAAATGTCTATAATATCAATGTCAACTATCATTTAGACATCAAGAGAAGATAAAATATTTTATTCTTCCTAACATGAATTAGTATGTGATTTTCCATAAATAAGCCAATTATAAACAGTGCGAAATTGGCTCTCTTGGAAATGATGAAATAAAGATAATCGGGTGTTGAATGTTGTATGAATGGAAATTTTTAATATGTAAGTTAAGTAATGTAAGTTTAATATTTTATAGATAATTAATAGAAAGTGTGTGTGCGTGTGTGTGTGTGTGTGTGCTCGTGGAGGCTATGGAAAGGGGGCACTGACTGGTGATGCTGATATTGGAGTGCATCTGAGGCTGTTGTAGAAACATATGGGTTGTTGATTACAACATTGCTAATGATTATGACCCAAAACAGCTCACCTAAGTAGCCTAACACCCTAAAATCTTTAACAGGTTCATTAAATGTGTTCCTGTGATCTGATCCAAAAGAGCCTAATGCGCACTTGCTAATACTAATAGTTGTTTACTAGTTTCTTAAAGTAGAGAAAATGTTTTCTTTAGTATATTGATAAATCTGTTAAGTTTGCTAAATTATAGTCATGTTCTACATAGGATGTTAAGTAGATATTTTGCCTTGTTTCATGTTACCTGTGGTTTCCATGTTCACTTATTATCTATAAAACTTGTAAAAACTTGTAAACATCTCAACCAAAGTGGCACCAGTGTGATATAAAGAGTAGCTTTAAAAGATCCTTAAGGTAGACCAATAAAGCAATCAAACATCTGGTTCTGCTTTAGCTCTTGAGAAACTTGGGGTAGTGAATTATTACAAATAAGTACATTAAAACAACCCACTATTTCATTTTTCATGTCTCATTTATGGATAATTGAGATTTGCCTACTTTGGCTAGGACTCTTGATCAGAGTAGAATAGAAGATAAAGCACATTATGTGAAGGGGATGTTGAATCTGTTTACAGTAGTTTTAGCATTTGTATTTGTGTTACAGCCCATTGACTCCTTAGTATTTGTTCAGCCAATCTTCTTTTCGGTTTTAATGTTTGGGAAATTGCTTTCAAGAATTCTCTAGAAGGGTTATTTAGTTCATTGTGACTTTGATCAGGACCATTAGCATTTTGTTCAAAGAAAACATGAAAAAGGGATAGAGGAGTTGAGATTAAATAAATAAAATAATAAAATAATAATAATTAATTATTATTAAATAATAATTAAATAATAAAATCATTATTAAATAATAAAAAAATCTCATTAAATAATAAAATCATTTGGACATTGTAGTGAAGATGTTTTTTCTTAGTTCAGATGCAGATTTTATTTCTTTAATGAGAAATATTGAAGGGGTCTTGTTCTACAGGAGGCAGTGTGGTTCCTCTCTAACATCACGGCAGGAAATCAGCAGCAGGTTCAGGCAGTAATTGATGCCAATCTTGTGCCAATGATAATACACCTTTTGGATAAGGTAAGAAAATCATCTTGTTGTATCTGAGTAAGAGTAAAGGGTTTAAATTTAACAAATTATGTGAGACCTGGCTGTGTGGCTCGATTGGAGTGTCGCTGTGATTGGGTCATGGGTTCCATCCTGGTAGAAGCACATACCCAGGTTGCAGGTTCGATACCCAGTTGGGATGCATGCAGGAGACAGCTGATCAATCAGTCTCTCTCTCTCTCTCTCTCTCTCTCTCTCTCTCTCTCTCTCTCTCTCTCTCCCCTCTCTCTCTTCCCCCTTCCCTCTAAAATCAATTTTTTTAAAAATAAAAATTTAAAAAAAACTAAATTATGTCAATGTATGCTTTTCTGTTTATTTAAGTAGAACCTATAGAATTGGCATGAATACTACCACAAAGTGGTATTAATATTAAAACTTTTAAACCCAGCAGTTTTTATATACAAGAAACATTTCTTTTTAGGAACGCTTGATCTTTCTATGTCATTCTTTTACTAAAATTACTATTATCCTTGGATTTGTTAAACATTCATATTATTACTACTGATTATACATGCTTAATGTATTGTGCTAAGCACTTTAAATATATTACCTCATTTAATACCATTGCTATATGAGGTTAAGAGTTATCCCATCTGACAGATGTAGAAACTGGTATAGACAAATAAATTGCCCAAGAGCTAACTACAAATAAGTGTGCAATTTAATCATAAGTTTGGGTCATACCTCATGTTTACATTAACATTTGAGAAAGAGACCATTTAAAATGTCACAATCACAGCATGAGGGTTTTTTCTGAATACTTGTCTATAAAGAGGCAATATTTCTATCTTATTTTTCTCCAAACTGGTAGTAGAAGCTATTTCTTGGTAGATTAGGCTTAGTTTGTAAGGCAAGAATCCTTATGCACTACTCTGTACTTTCTAATGATTCACATTAGGAGACACATTCTGTCCTGCTTCAAGTGAGATTGATGAGTGAGGTCAGGTGTTCTTATCCTATGCCAGCTGATTATTAAGTTAGACATCAATCTTTCCCATAATGGCATTTATTGATGATCATTGCCTGGATCCTTATTTTACTAAGAAATTCAAAATGCTTCTAATTTTGTCATTCTTTATGTATTTTTCATTATTCTTCAATAAAGAACTTTTCCTTATCAACTATTGTTTTATAGGGTAACATGTTTTACATAGGCAAGGCCAGATAAATGCTTGATTCTTGTTTATTATCGCTCGATTTTTAGAATAACATGGTTTCCTAATAACCTCAAAAGTAGACTAGGGTGGCATTTTTAATATTATTAAGAAACTAGAGGCCGGGACCCCTCGGGGGATGTCCGACTGACAGGGAGCCGGCCTAAGCCAGGAGTCAGGCATCCTAAGCGCTGCCACGGAGGAGGGAGAGGCTCTCGCCACCGCCGCTGTACTCGCCAGCTGTGAGCCCAGCTCGGCTTCTGGCTGAGCATCGCTCCCCCTGTGGGAGCACACTGGCCACTAGGGGGCGGTTCCTGCATTGAGCGTCTGCCCCCTGGTGGTCAGTGCACGTTATAGCAAGTGGTGAGTAGCCTTAGCATATCATTAGCATATTACGCTTTGATTGGTTGAACTGCCGACTGGACACTTAGCATATTAGGCTTTTATTATATTAGACTAGAGGCCCGGTGCACAAAAATTTGTGCACTCGGCGGGGGGTGGGGGGGTCCCTCAGCCCGGCCTGTGCCCTCTCGCAGTCTGGGACCCCTCGGGAGATAACGACCTGCTGGCTTAGGCCTGCTCCCGGGTGGCAGAGGGCAGGCCTAATCCCTAGGTGCAGCCCCTGGTCGGGCTCAGAGCAGGGCCGATTGGGGAGTTGGGGCGCCGCCCCCTGTCATGCACAGAGCAGGGCGGATTGGGAGGTTGTGATGCCACCCTCAGTCACGCTCAGGGTAGGGCCAATTGGGGGGTTGGGGCACCGCCCCCTGTCACACTCAAGGCAGGGTCGATGGGGAGGTTGCGGCACCACCCCCTATCACACACACAGCAGGGCCAATCAGGGGGTTGGGGCGCTGCCCCCTGTCACGCACAGAGCAGGGCCGATCAGGGGGTTGGGGCACCGCCACTGTCACACTCAGGGCAGGGCCGATGGGGAGGTTATAGCTCTACCCCATCACACACAGAGCAGGGCCCGTGAGGTGGGGGGTTGTGGCACCACACCCTGTCACACACAGAGCCACAGGGCGATCAGGGGATTGGGGAGCTCCCCCCTATCAGGCACACAGCAGGGCCCATCAGGGGGTTGGAGCGCCTTCCCCTGTCAGGAACAGAGCAGGGCAGATAGGGAGGTTGTGGCCCCGCCCCGTCACACACAGAGCTGCAGGGCCATCGGGGTTTGGGCGCTGCCCTCTGTCACGCTGATCCCAGTGCCGGGAGGCCTTGCGGCTCCGCTGATCCCGGTGCTGGGAGGCATATTACCCTTTTACTATATAGGATAGAGGCCTGGTGCATGGGTGGGGGCTGGCTGGTTTGCCCTGAAGGGTGTCCTGGATCAGGGTGGGGATCCCCACTGGGGTGCCTGGCCAGTCTGGGTGAGGGGCTGAGGGCTGTTTTCAGGCTGGGACTGAAGCTCCCAACTGCTCCTTTTTTTCTTTTTTTTTTATTCTGGGCCAGCTTTAGCTCTGAGGCTCCAGCTCTTAGGCATCCGCTGCTGAAAGCAGGTATCTGGTTTGTTTAGGTTCTATAATCGAAACTCTGTATCAATTCCAGCTCTGAGATCCCGGCTCGCTGAAAGCAGGTTTCTGGGGTTTTGTTTGGCTTCTATATTTGTTACAATGTTTTTTAAACTGCAGGCTCAGAGGCCGGCAAGGCAGGCGGGGAATGTTGGTTTCCTCCGTCACTGAAGCAAGCAAGCCTCATGTTAGTTTCAAGCTGCCTGGCTGCCGGCTGCCATCTTGGCTGGCAGTTAATTTGCATATCTCCCTGATTAGCCAATGGGAAGGGTAGCGGTCGTACGCCAATTACCATCTTTCTCTTTTATTAGATAGGACTAGAAGCCCAATGCATGAAGATTCGTGCAAGAATGGGCCTTCCTGTCCTAACTAGTTTGGCTCAGTGGATAGAGCGTCGGCCTGCGGACTGAAAGGTCCCAGGTTCAATTTGGTCAGGGGCATGTACCTTGGTTGCAGGCACATTCCCAGTAGGAGTTGTGCAGGAGGCAGCTGATTGATGTTTCTCTCTCATCGATGTTTCTAGCTCTCTATCCCTCTCCCTTCCTCTCTATAAAAAATCAATAAAATATATTTAAAAAAAAAAAAAGAATGGGCCTTCCTTCCCCTTGCTGCCGGTACAGCCTTCGCTCAGGCCCTGAGCCGCCTTTCCACCTTCCCACGCTGCCCAGAGACCCGGAGCGGCTGGGGCAGTGTGGAACACCTGCATCGTTGCCATGGCAACAACGCAAGCATCCTGCCCCACCCCTGGCTGCTGGGCGCCTGCATATGAAAATTAACTCATGGTCTTTGTTGGATTAATTTGCATACTCCTCATTGGCTGGTGGGCATTGCAAAGGTATGGTCAATTTGCATCTTTCTCTTTTATTAGTGTTGATTATGGATATTTTTTGTCCATTATATTTCTTGCTGGCACTAAGGTTCCCTGACCAATAGGAACCTCTTAAATTTGGTGTCTGGTTTTTGTTTTATTTTTTTTTACATCACTGTATAGTTTTTGAGAGCTTCTTTCTTTTTGAGTATGATGTGATTCCCAGGCTTATCTTGTATATTTTCTGACCTAGACCTTGAAAGAACTATTTCTGCAGGATGTCCTGGTTCCTTTTTGTAGAGAATTGTATTTCAGGATCATAGTTCAGGTACTAACAATGATCATTGCTACAAGGTTGTCTTTGTTTCTAGGCCCGAGTGAGCAAAAGAGGTGATAATGTATTTTTTAGAAAGTGAAAAATATATTGTAATGTTGTGAACATGAAAATTTATAAAAAACAAATCATGAATGAAAGGAAGCTATTGGATATTACTGTCTATTTAAGATAATAGTGTTTTTATTTTACTTCTTTGATTTTATATTCTTATCTTTTTTATTCTGGAAATCTTCCTGAAAAGATTGAGAATATATGAGATATAAAGTCTATCAAAATAAGACCACACTGCCATAACAACATGAGTATTCCATTTTTAAAATATTGGTTTTGGTTATATAAACCATTTATGTGGTTTCCAAGTAAAAAATACATACCTTGTTTTATTTAAAAGGGCTAACTTACATTTCTGTCCATTTCTCCTTATCCTTTCCCTTCCTTTACAGATAATAGTTTTTATTAGTTTTCGGTTTATACCTTCATTGTTTCTTCTTTAAATATAAGCAAATGCCTATGTACATACTAATTTTCCTACCATTTCTTTTTTTCTTGCATTGTTTTTTTAAAAATATTTCTTTTGAAATATTATCCTGGAGATCACTCCCATTACATGAGCTTTCTTATTCTTTTTTCTTATTTTTGTTATAGCTACATAGTACTCCACTGTATATGTGGATGTGCCATAATGTGTTCAACTTATTTTATTTTTGAGATGTTTATAGTGTTGTGCTATTAAATAGTACTTTAAAAAGTAGTTTGTAAAGTGTGTGTGTGTGTGTGTGTGTTTTGCACTCCTACTAACAGATATTTGGAGTTAATCTAATAAGTAAGGGTAGATATCCCACTGCAGTTTTAATTTTCATTCCTCTTTTTTATATATATTTTTTCTTAATACATCATAAGCATTCTTCATGGTTGCTAGCCTTAAAGTTTAATAACTGGTTATTATTTCATTCAGTAGATTTACTATAATTAATTATTCCCCTGTTGAGAATTTGAGTTGCTTTTACTTTTTTTAATATATATTTTTATCGATTTCAGAGAGGAAGGGAGAGGGAGAGAGAGATAGAAACATCAATGATGAGAGAGAATCATTGATCGGCTGCTTCCTGCATGCCCCCTACTGGAGATTGATCCCACAACCCGGGCATGTGCCCTTGGCCGGAATCGAACCCAAGACCCTTCAGTCCACAGGCCGACACTCTATCCACTGAACCAAACTGGCTAGGGTTGCTTTTACTTTTTAACTGTTACGTGCTGCTAAAACAATATATAGATAGATACATAATATTACCTTGTTTTAAATTATTTTCTTGGTAAATTATTAAAAGATTACCAACACATGAGAAATAATTTTTAAGTATGTTTTTCAGTTTATATTTGAAAGGAAATACAATGTTTTCACCATAATCTTAATAATGGTGGGCATTATAATTTCTAAAACTTGCATATTTAAAGGGATGCTTTCTTTTAATTTGACATTTCTTTGATTAAATTGTACATTTTTCTGGGTTTCTTTTTTTTTACCATTTTACTTTATCCTTGACTTTATTTAATCTTATATTATTGAACAATAATACATATCAAGTCATAACAAGTCTCCATGTATTTATGGTAAATTGGGTTCAAAGGCGTATTTTAATAAGTAACAATTATGTGTGCCTATAGAAAGACTAGTAGTAAACCTGGGGAAATATTTAACAGTTGAAAAATCATTTCAGTTGCGGTGAGGTGTGGAAGGATTGAGCAAAAAAGAGAAAAAAAACTCATGAACACGAATAACAGTGTGGTAATGGGTGGGGGTGTGTAGAGGAAGGTACAGGTGGGATAAATGATGATGGACGGAGACTTGACTTGAAGTAGTGAACAATACAGTGTACACATGATATGTTGTGGAATTGTGCATCTGAAACCTGTATAATTGAGTTAACTAGTGTTACCCCAATAAATTCATTAAAAGAGGGGGGGAGAAAACTCATTTCAGAAAACATTTTTTCCATTTTACTTTGTATTGGAGTTTGTATCCTTTCCTTTGCTTTGCTTTTGCAGGGGGATTTTGGCACTCAGAAAGAAGCTGCTTGGGCCATAAGTAACTTAACAATTAGTGGAAGGAAAGATCAGGTAAGTTCAGCTCTTATTTATTTCTCAGTGGATAGAATGTTGGCCTGTGGACCGAAGGGTCCCGGGTTTGATTCTGATCAAGGGCATATACTTCGGTTGCAGGCTCCTCCCAGGCCCAGGCCATGGTCAGGGCTTGTGCAGGAGGCAACCAATCAGTGTGTTTTTCTCACACCGATGTTTCTGTCTCTCCCTCTCTCTTCCACTCTCTCTAAAAATCAGTGGAAAAATATCCTCGGGTGAGGATTAACAAAAAAAATCATAATTTAAAATAGTAGAAAGATAACAGACATTCTGTGATAGGGTTGTGCGAGTGTGTGTTACCTTGACTTCCTTTATTTATAATTCATAGATGAGATGGGTTCTCTTTCCAACTTCTTGGCCTACAAGAATTTTCTAATTTACTGTAAGATAGAAGCACTTATAGTCGGGGTTGGTGTTTTTTGTTTGTTGTGGGGTTTTTTGGGCTCTTTAACAGTATTAAGACAGATGACTTTTTAGGTGAATTGGGCAGAATGAAACTGCCTCACAGATTTTAACAAATGAACAACAAAAATTTACAGCATCTAAATACTCAACCAGCCCTAACCGGTTTGGCTCAGTGGATAGAGCGTCAGCCTGCGGACTGAAGGGTCCCAGGTTTGATTCTGGTCAAGGACATGTACCTTGGTTGCAGGCACATCCCCAGTAGGGGGTGTGCAGGAGGCAGCTGATCGATGTTTCTCTCTCATCAATGTTTCTAATTCTCTATCCTTCTCCTTTCCTCTCTGTAAAAAAATCAATAAAATACATTTAAAAAATAAAATAAATAAAAATAAATAAATACTCAACCAAAAAAGGCTGGGAGTAGGAACTAGAGTGAGGAATGTGAGATCCCTAGGGCATAAAATTTAGAAAGGCATGCACTGTGATTGTGCAGGTGTCACAGCTTAACATTGTGCCAAGTGGCAAAAGAAAATGGGTTTTAAAGGTCCCAGATATGTTTCATAGATAATTTTAAAAGGTTGAATTTGGAGCTGATAAGCAATAAATTGATAATTACCACAAATTAGCTATTGACTGATGGTGAGCAGTGAATCCACTTAAATAGGAATACAGAGCAGAATATAAAAATTCATGTGGCCTAGCCAGTGTGGCTCAGTGGTTGAACTTCGACCTATGAATCAGGACATCACAGTTCTATCCCTGGTCAGGGCACATGCCCAGGTTGTGGGCTTGTACCCAGTAGGGGGCATGCAAGAGGCCTAGCTCTCTCCCTATCCCTCTCTGAAATCAATAAAAAAATTTTTTTTAATTTAAAAATGCATGTATATAATAACTAGATAGAAATGATAGAAAAGTATTATGAAAATATTACAGAACCAATAGAATAGTGAATAGAAGGTGGCCACGGATACGAGAATACTAAATGCAACAGTAAAGAGCCAATGGATGCTCTCACATTGAACAGTTGTAGTTCTTAAAAAAATATTCAGCCTCTTAACTGATATTTTAATTTCTTAATCTTAAAGGGGAAAGGATCTTTGAAAAAAGTGTTCCTTATGGCAAAGAAATGTTTCATATGAAGTTGAGTGATTAATTCACTTTCACTTAATTTATTTTCTAAGTTTAAGAAAAATAAACTTACTATGTAAAAAAGAAAAGGAAGTTTGATTAATGTAATCTAACTTATCATGTGAGAGATGAGGTCATACTCAATATTTTACTTCAGTGAGATAATAAGGTACACAAACGAAGTTCATTATGCTTAATATATCATGGTGTCTTTATTCTTCAGGTGGCCTGCCTAATTCAACAAAATGTTATACCACCTTTTTGCAACTTGCTGACTGTAAAAGATGCACAAGTTGTGCAAGTAGTACTCGATGGACTAAGTAATATATTAAAAATGGCTGAAGATGAGGCAGAAACCATAGCCAATCTTATAGAAGAATGTGGAGGTGAGTTTATTATAAACTATTATCACATTCTAATTCTTTTTGTAACTATGTTTACTTTCTGACTTATAATAAAGTACTCCTGTATTTTTCTGTCTTAGATAATTAAGTAACATAATAGGGTAAATATGTTAAGTATGTTCTATATGTACAATCCTGCTCTGCTTCTTGCATATTCTTAGGTAACTGAATTGCCATTTATTGAACAGGCTCTGTACTAAGGTACTTGGAAGACAGTGGTAAACAAGACACAGTTTTTGCCCTCAAGGCATGTAGTCTAGTTATGGAGATAAATATAAACTGATTTAATGTGCTAATTACCCTAATAGAAATGTACAACAAAATGAAATACTTAATCCATCTCGGAAGAAGCAGGAAGTCACACCTGAGCTGGATTTTGAGAGATGAATAAGGATTAATAAAGTAAAAAGGGATGAAAGGTGTTCCAGGCAGAAATAACACCATGAGCAAAGTCTGAGGTGAGAAATAGCATTCAGCAAATTATAAGTAGTTCAGTGTTGCTGAATCACAAAGTTGGGGTAGAAACTGCCAAAAGATAGGCTGAGACATGGCAAATAAGCAGGCCCCTATAATCTTAACAAGCTTTGGTAGCACACTAGATACTTTATTCTAATTCTGTGGGGCAGTAGTTCCCAAATCTGGTTGTGTATCAGCCACCTGGAATGTAAACAGCACGTCTTAGCTTTCAACTCTTAAAATTAACAAGTACACAGAACATGGAAGTTTCAAATGTGGCTGTGGAACAAAAGTGTAAATGTTAACCTGGATAAGCATAAAAGTATAGGTATATCTGACAGAAGTTGAGAAGTATATGAAGAAAGGTGATTATAAAAAGAGAACTACTTTAACTTAGTAAAGGAGTGTAGAGGCTTAAAAATTACTAAGAGATTAGTATTTTTAAAGTTACTAAAGTGACAAGTAGAATAACAAAGAAAATAATGCATAACTATCAAGTTAGAAACAGAAGATGGGAAATAGTGTTAGGGAACTAATTGGAAAGTAAGTACCAGAAAAAATTAAAAATGGGCATAGTAGGAAAGTATTAGTAATTGGGCCTTAATAAATGAAGACACTGATTGTAGAGACAAAGAGGAACTTGGAAAATTCGAGAAATGGAGGCTTTTAAGATCTGATCTTTCTAAGATCTTTTAAGATCTTAGATTTCAAACTGTTATCACGAAGTAATACAGTAGAACAAACAGTTTAAATGAGTAAAGGCAAACAAGTTGTGTTTTGGACAGTTCAAATTTTAGGTAACTGTGAAATGTCCTGGTGGAATTAGATCATGCAGGCATTTAAGTTTTATGAATGTGAAGCTCAGGAAAGAAATGAAGCAATAGATATACAGATCCTCAGCCTCTATTAGTAGCTACATTTTTTAATGGGAGGGCCCCATAAGGAAAATGTAGAATGAAAAATGAGCCCAAAACAACTATCACCATTTAAGAAAATAGAGGAAGGACAGTCGTGAAAGGGCAATTTCATTATTTTTTAGAGACCTTGAAATTACTACTCCTAAACAACAAAACAAGACCTAATTTGCATGCCAACAGGTTAAGTTTATATATTTTTATTAATGTTCCTGCCTATGATTTAACAAACTCACTAATGTTTACAGGGCAAATTCCATTTCCCCCTGAAATACTGTGGTTGATGTTATAATTAACAGATGTCTTAACATGTATTTATTAATCACCAGTATATTAAATTTTTTTCATATATACTCACTAGAAAAACTTGGCAGATGCTAGAAAGTGGAATGAATCTGCTTTTAAGTTTTAACAAACAAAAGCAATTTTACATGTTATTGCTCCATATAAACATTGTGATGATGTAATAGTTTTCTGAATAGGTAGATGTCCCATTGCTTAGTTAATTATTTATATGCATTTAAACACTCAGGTTGTTAATATTTTAAGATAAGCATGCTATATCTTTGTGCATAAAATCTTTTTATTTTTTAAGATTCACCCTTAGAATAGGTTCCGAAAAATTATAGATTTGCAATTCAATAATTGGATTATGTGGTCCAAGATTATTGTAACTTTTTTTGTCAGTACTTTTTAGATATTACTCTATTTTACCTTATAAAATCTTTTGCAGGACTGGAGAAAATTGAACAACTGCAAAATCATGAAAACGAAGACATCTACAAATTGGCCTATGAGATCATTGATCAGTTCTTCTCTACAGATGATGTATTTAATAACTTTATAGTTTTCTTAATATACATCTACATGAAATAATATATTAAGCTAGGACAGTGATAGCGAACCTATGACACGCGTGTCAGAGGTGACACGCAAACTCATTTTTTTGGTTGATTTTTCTTTGTTAAATGGCATTTAAATATATAAAATAAATATCAAAAATATAAATCTTTATTTTACTATGGTTGCAAATATCAAAAAATTCTATATGTGACACGGCACCAGAGTTAATTTAGGGTTTTTCAAAATGCTGACACGCCGAGCTCAAAAGGTTCGCCATCACTGAGCTAGGACATGCATGTATATATTTAGGGGGAATGGAATTAAAATAGGTATATGACGGCAATGTCACTTGTTTCAGAAACATAATTCAATATTTCAAAGTCCCTCGGGGCATTAAAAAATAGTACTAGCACTGATGGCAGATAAGTTAGGCATATTTTCTTGACACTGGACAAGTCAGGCTTTATTTTTCACTTGATGTCATATTTTATATTGTTAATAGCATAACATGTTTATAAACAAAATAGTGATACTAGATCTCCTATAATAAATTCTTTATGACAGTAATTAGTTAATCCGCTTTTGACTATGTTCTCACAGTTACTTTTAGTTGACCCAAAACAAATATGAAGATAGGTAGATAACTTGAAAACAATAAATCATCAAAAAGATAAGTTTCCCTATAATGTGAGGTACAGTATATAAAAGTGTCTTATGTGGTAATGAAAATTAAAGTATTAACTTAATTTTTAGTATTGCCTCTTTGGAAAAGTAAGCCTAAATTAAAAGCAATTGTTCCTTAGAAAATTATAATGGTTAGATACCACCACCAGTGAATTTCTTAAGCGATTTTCTCAACATTTTAATAAATAAGTCTTATACACAGACTTTTCCATATTATCAAAAGAGTAGAATATTATTAAACTTTTTTTGAAATCCTCACCCAAGGATATGTTTTTATTGATCTGAGAGAGAGAGAGAAATATCAATCGATTTCCTCCCATGTGCATCCAGACCAGGGATCGAATCCACAACCGAGGTATGTGACCTGATTGAGAATCATATCCGCAACTTTTGGTGACAATGCTCCAACCAACTAAGCTACCCAGCCAGAGCTAAACATTTTGTTAAGCATGTATTACTCAAACACAACCTGACAAAGACAAAACCAGTCATGCATCACATGACATTTCAGTCAAGAATGGACCATGCAAATGATGGTGTTCCATAAGATTATAATGATGGAGCTGAAAACTTCCTATTGCCTAGTGATGTCATAGACATCACAGTGTCATACCCCAGTGATTACTCGTGTGAAGCTGGTATAGCAAAAACCTGCTATGCTGCCAGTCATACAGAAATTTAGCATTACAATGACAGTGGTAGACTATGTATACCATCTAGGTTTGTGTAAGTACACTCTAACAATGCATTTCTCAGAACATATCCCCATCGTTAATGCGGTTCATGACTAGTAGAAAAGAAAGTTGTGGATTTTGCTTATAGGTGATTAAACCATTTAGATATCAAGTCCTTTAGATGATCAAGTCCTATTTAGAATATAATGCCAGTTTAAGTAAATCAAATAAAATCCAGAAAAAGCATATTCTTTTAAGGGTAGCTTTTATCCCATGTCTTTAAAGTTGGATTTTTGGAAGTCCTAATTTGCAAGTAGATATACACAAGACTTATGATTTTTAATACCTCAACATGCAGTTTTTGTTACTCTCTTATGTTATGAAAATAATTCAGAGGATGTACACATTTATAGGAACTTCACTATAGACTCATTATTTTGTGGTATTTTAGAAAAGAACCTTTAGATATAAAGCATATAGAATATCATTTATCAGTTATTAGCTATTATTTTACTATTTTAAGCCCAAATGTCATTTGTCTCCCAGCTGGAGTGGCTCAGTTGGTTGGAGCTTTATCCCATGCACCAAAAGGTCGATGGTTTGATTCCTGGTCAGGGCACACACCAGGGTTACGGGTTTGATCCCCGTATGCAGTCAGAATGCATACAGAAAGCAACTGATCAATGTTTCCCTCTCACCTCTCCCTCTCCTTCTTTTCTCCTCTCTCTCATTCCCTCTCCCTTCCTCTCTCTAAGCATGTCCTCAGATGAGGATTAAAAACTAAAGAAACAAAAATTAACCAGAGATTATACTTACTTTAAAAGTGGTGGCATTAATTTTTTAATGTCATCTTTTATCTATTTGCTCAGGTACAAGGGAAATTATAGTGAGTATCCTCTCAGTTTAAAATGTATGACCATCTCTAATTTATTACTGATATTTTATTCTTTTAGAAGATATCCATCTTGCATATTCTCAAGTTTCTTCTCATTTTGGCATCCTTAAGAAAAAGTGTTTACAAAATTGTTTCAGCTTTCTAAGAGGGATGGTAGGATAATGTTGACACATTATTATCTCTCTCATACTTTTTAAAGGGAAATGGGAATATTACTATAATGCTATTTATATATACATTTAAACTAATCATCTTTTTTTTTTTTTTTTTCATTTTTTCCCGTAGATTGATGAAGATGCTAGCCTTGTTCCAGAGGCAATACAAGGTGGAACATTTGGTTTCAATTCATCTGCCAATGTACCAACAGAAGGGTTCCAGTTTTAGAAAGATGCTGTGGAAGTTAGGTACAATGCAGCACTGAGATATATATATATATATATACATATATATAAAAAGGTTTGATCCATCAAGCTTGGCTCATGGGATCTACTGCTGCATTAAATCGGGAAAGAAAATGTGAAGATTTCATTTGGAATCACAGAAAATGCCCAAATGAGGTCAAGATGGCGAGTGGGTGCGAGTGAGAATGAGTGGCAAAGTGTAATGAAAACTTTACATGAATGCTTATTTAGGTTGATCAAAGTAAAAAGGGCTACAGGTCACAGTTCTTCAGTGCCTGAGAAGAAACATTCAACGTTGACTTACTCTACATCAATTGAGGGAGAGTGCAGTACTGTCATCTTCAAGCCTTGTAAGCATAAAAGAGAATAGGATGCCCATATAAGTCAAAGGAAAATGAGCCCAGGCCTTGCTATGAAGCAGTGTGTGAATGGACAGTGTTGAGTGAATGTCTGGCTCAGTAATAGAGAGCCAGGTTCATCTTTCAAATCTAGGGCTCTTCACTCATGAAGCAGACTCCTAGTCCTGGAGTGACTGTGTATGAGAGTGTGGTTGTGGTGCTGTATGTGAACGCATGCAAGCTTGATTCGCCTTCAGGGGGCTGATAACAAACCTAGTAAATCATCAAAATGAGATCATAAGTGTTAATGTACACTGGACATGAAAACAAAGACCCGTTTAGCAGCAGACATTGGTTTACTCTGCAGCCTGTGTTTTCTATTTCCCCTTTCCTCCCCAACCCCTCCCTTTTTTTTCTTTTTTCTTTTTAGGTTTTTTTCTTTTTTAGTTTTGTTTTTTGTTTTGGGGGAATTTTGTTTTGTTTTGAGGGTTGTTTTTTTTTTTTTGTCTTTTTTTTTTTTTTAGGGTTTTTTGGGGTTTTTTTTTTTTTTTTTTTTTTTTTTTTTTTTTTTTTTTGTTTTTATTTACTCTACCTAGTATGGCTTTTTAGTTGCTTCTCAAGTCAGAAAACTTTTCAGGAAGGTTTCCCTGTGCATTTGCACCAGATGAATGTTTGATGCTATGAAAAGCTTTCCATATCATCAGAACTAATTTGTGTAGATTTTTGCATGGAAAAAAAAATCAAATTTCCCTCAAAATAGACTGTGTTGCAGTACACATGTTGCCATAATAGTATAAAACAGTAAAATGTGCTTTAAAAATACATCCTTTTCATTTTCAGAGATAACATAAAGATCTTTGCATGAGGTAAATCTACAACATAGTTTATTTTTAGATTTTGTTAAGTCCTGTAAAGAAGAAGAAAAAAGTTTCAGTTGTAGTAGAATACCGTGCTGTGTTTAAATGTTATTTGTTTTCAAACTTTGTTTTCTATGAAAATGATATGGAAACTTCTAAAATCGAATTTGGTGCATATGTACTGCTGAATAAAGACTGATGAAGAGGTTTGAATAGATGTACAAATCAAGTAATGGTTTGAACACCTTTAATAATATGCCTAATCTGTTCAATTGTTTTAGAATCTTTTTATCTTAGATGTAGGCAGCCATGAACAATCTATTTTGAGCCACTTTAGGGAGAAAACTTTGTATTTTTAAAACTTGCATAAGAGTTATGCAAGTGGTTTTTATAAATTGGAATAATACCTCAGTTTTGAGGTTATGCACACTAAATTAAATGTGACATAAATTAATTTGTACAAAAAGAACTCTTTATAAGGTGGCTCATTGTAGGAAATCCTGTGCCTTCCCCTTTGAGCACAAGTGTTGCATGAACAACAGTTTGCTATAAGAAACATACCAGATTAGCCACCATTAGCATCTATATCTACTTTGTGTTTAAGAATCAACTGGTAAATCTGAAACACTGTAGAATGGATAAAAATTATTTTGTGATCATAACTCTTTGTTGAACTAGAGTATTTTTGCAGCATTCCTTGTCATCAGAAACATGGATAAAGTTTAAAACTAGAAGCAGCAGAAAACTAGCTTGTAAAATTTATCCAAGTAGAGTGCAGGCTAGGCTGTGTTGGGGAAATAAACATTAAACTTAAGCAATGTTTTACATGGGGTGTGTGTGTTTGCTGTGTGGACTTATTATACATACTAATGTAAAGTTACAGTATAACTCAATGTATTGTATTAGTTTGTCTTTCTAAATAAGCTTTTGACCTAGAACCAACATAACAGACTTATTTCTTCAGTTCTGTAATTTCAGTATAAACATTAATATTTTAATCCACTGAATTTGTTCAGATGACATCATCTGTACTTCTGCTTTCTCCCTATTCAGATCAAAGTTTTGACCTTTCTTCATTCTTCCAGAAAAATGGACTGAGAGACTTGAGCTATATTTTAAGTATTACTATAGCTTCAACATACAGTTCTTAATGATAGATTGCATACAAGGCTTGGTTTTTATAGAAGGCTTAAGTTACCACAAGGTGAACATAACAATACATGATTTATGTTTCTTAGCAATAAAAAATTTGGTTCAAAGTAAGCTGAGGAGGTTATAGTAGGCCAAATGATTTTATAGAATAGTTATCCTTTATATATACTCTAGAGGCCCAATGCACGAAATTTGTGCAAGAGTAGACCTTCCTTCCCCCAGCTGCTGGCACCAGCTTCCCCCTGGCACCCAGGACCTAGGCTTCCCTCCCTCCAGCCACCAACAGGCACCCGGGACCCAGGCTTCCCTCACAGCCCTGGCTTCATCTGGAAGGTCATCTGGTCTAATTAGCATATTATGCTTTTATTATTATAGCTACTAATTGTAGATGATATTAACATCTGAGTACAAGGGCTACCTGATGATCTAAATATTTCCTTTCTACCCATGGTCCGTGGTCTCATATGGGACCTTGATATTCTAATACAGGGGTGGGGAACCATTGGGATATTTATAACATCATTTGGGGGCCATACAAAGTTATCAACTTAAAAATTAGCTTGCTATATTTGGTCAAACTTTCAATTAACTCACCCCTAATGCCTTGGTAGGGCCAGACCAAATAATTTCAAGGGCCTTCCTTATATGGCCCTCAGGCTGGTCGTTCCCCACCCCTGTTCTAATGGAATTCTAGCAAGAACTTTGCCATGTCTGAAATTTGTTTCAGCACAGTTAACAGTTCATCACAGCCAGTGATCTAGGAAACATTCCTTTTTAACATAGAACATTATTTGTGATGAGGGAGAAAATGAAATAAGCCTTTAGTAAGCTAATTGTTCTTGGCTTCTTGTGTTTAAACTGCCTTTTTGGAGTATTGAGCTCTTTCAAGTGCTATAAAAATATGAATGTCAGTATGAGAGTAGCTGTGGTCTAAATATATTTTTTAAAGTTTTTTTTTCCTTTCTATTGTGTGTCATGGATTTAGTACTTTCCACATTACTCTGAACCAAACCCGGAGTATTCCTATAATTGAAGCTCTTGACTATTAAAAATACAACTGGATGATTTTTTAATATTTAGTTTCAGCTTACCGTAGTGACTGAAATTTATAGGTTTATTTTTTCTTTGTAAAGTGACTGGGTTTATTGTAATACTAGAGGCCCGGTGCACGAAAATTCGTGCAGGGAGGGGTCCCTCAGCCCAGCCTGCCCCCTCTCACAGTCTGGGAGCCCTCATGGGATGTCTTACTGACAACTTGGGCCCGCTCCCCTAAGCGCTAGTCTGGCCTCCCTCTGCGGGAGGCGACCGGGTCGATCAGGGAGAGGTGCCACCCCCATCACCCTGCTCCTGCTGCCACTGCCAGCTGCTGCAGCTGCCAGCCCTCCTTGGCCCTCACACTGCTGCTGCTGCCACCCCTTCTCAGTCCTTGCAGCCACCACTGCTTTTGTCCCAGAGGACATCAGAAGGACGTTCGGAAGATGTCTGGTCTATCTAATCTAATTAGCATATTACCCTTTTATTAGTATAGATTAATATAATTTCTAGAATACCCTATTTGGGTTCTCCATGGCCTCAGTTTCTTCAAGAAGAGAGAAATTAAGCTAAGCTTTGGCTTTAAGAAATTATATATTTTTTGTTGCTGTATAACAAATTACCACGAACTTAAGAGTTTAAGACAACATATTATTTCACAGTTTCTGTGGGTCAAGAGTCCAGGTACAGCTTAGCTCAGGCTCTCACAGGCTACAGTCAAGGTTTCATCTGAAGCTGGTCCTCTTCCATACTTCTTTTTTTTAAAAAAATACATTGATTTTTTTACAGAGAGGAAAGGAGAGAGATAGAGAGCTAGAAATATCGGTGAGAGAGAAACATCGATCAGCTGCCTCTTGCACATTCCCTACTGGAGATGTGCCCGCAACCAAGGTACATGCCTTTGACCGGAATTGAACCTGGAACCCCTCTATCCACTGTTACAGCCTCTTCCATACTTCTGTTGCAGAGCCCATTTCCTTTCAGCTGTAGAACTGATGGCTGCTTGCTTCAAGGCCTGCAGGAGAAATTTCTGATTTTGGAGAAAGTCCTAAGCCTGCTTTTAAAGGATTCACTTGATTAAGTCAGGCCCACCAGAGGTGAACTCCCTTTAGATTAACTCGAAATCGAACTGATTAGTGCCTTGATTACACCTGCAAAATCCCTTCCCCTTTGCCTGTGCTGTAGCCTTATCACAGGGTAATATCCATTACATTCACAGATCCTGCCCACACTTAAGGGAAGGGGATTAAAAAGATACGTACATCAGGAAATCTTGGGAGTCATCTTAAGAGTTCCGCCTACCACAAGGTAACAGTATTTAGGTCTGGAGCAATTCAGGTGATCAGCTAATTATACGTTTATCTTTAGATCAAGGTCACCTATGAGAATCTTAAGAAAACTGGACCAGCTCCTCCCCACCCCCATGGATGGATATATATATATATATATATATATATATATATATATATATTTCAATCTAGAGGATTTGTTGGGGTCCATGAATTTCAGAGTATGAATGAATGATCTGTACTTACCTTCCCTTCAGATGAGAGGTAATTAATTACTAAGGGTCAGATAAGACCCAGATCTCAAGTTCCATACCATTGGAAGCTGTGCTTCCAATTACGGTCTAAAATTCACTTAAATTTGTGAACCAATGCAAACAATGTTTACACAGCTTTTTCTATATTTTGAGGAATGGCTAATTATAGAAATGTGTCAGAGTTTTGAAAACACAGGCATACCTCAGATATTTCAGGGTTTGGCTCCAGACCACCACAATAAAGCGAGTAATTATTTTTGTTTCCCAGTGCATATAAAAGTTATGTTTTACACTATACTATAGTCTATTAAGTGTACAATAGCACTGCCTAGAAAAACAATGTACATGTTTTAACTTCAAAACGCTTTATTGCTAGGAAATGCTAACCATCCTCTGAGCCTGCAGTAAGACATAATCTTTTTGCTGGTAGAGGGTCTTACCTTCAATTTGTAAACACAGCAACATGTGCAATAAAACCAAGCGCAATAAAACGAGGTATGCCTGTATTTTTGAGTTTTCAAAATTGAATCTTCCATCATAGTAAGAAGGTGAACAATAAACAGGCCAACTTAGCTTGAATCAAAAGCAATTACCATTGTTAATTTCTGAGATTTCGTGGAGTATTTACTTCATGAGTATAAAAATTCAATTAGAATCCATTGTCGATTATTTTGGTCAATGTATCTGATGTGTTTTTGTACTCTTTTTTTTCCCCCCTCATCCCCCAAGGAGTGAGGATATTTTTTCCACTGATATTTAGGGAGGGGGAAAGAGAAGAGAGACAGACATCGATTGGTTGCCTCCCAAACACGCCCCTATGGTATGTGCCTGGAATTGAACCTGAGACCCTCTGGTACATAGGCTGACCTTCACACTCCAACCACTGAACACACCGGCCAGGGTTTTACTGGCTTCTTGATTAT